ATACATTCCTTAATGAAATTCTTAACATTCTTCCTCTCTTTCTCTCTCTCTCTCTCTCTCACTTTCTAAACGAAATGACTTTTTGTTGCTTGCATATGCATGTATGTATGTATATTCATATATTGTTTATATGCAATGAACGTGTTTATGCATACATATACTGGCTTATATGTAAATATGTATATGTGTATATAGAGCATATTGAATTCTTAATTCCGTTGCGATATTATTATTATTATTATTATTATTATTAATTATACATATTTGGGTTTGTGGCATTCAATTAACTGATACGCATGAATGGTTGTTTTTTCGACCACGGAGAAGTTGCACTAACTGCTCATATATATATGTTCATATATATTTGTATAAGTTTATGGGTATGTTAATATATATTTTTATTTCTACTTAGCGTAAGTAACTTTAAGTAAATTTTAACCCCCGCTTTGTAAATGTGTAACGAAGTGAGCAATCAACGGTCTCAACCAACGGCTACATTTCCGACTTCCAGTTTATAAGAGCAATGGTGGTGGCGTCGACGACGACGACGACGACGACCACGAGAATAGCGTCTACACGGCTAACGTTCATATATATGTAGAGAGATATATATGTGTGTTTGTTTTTTATATTTATAGATATGTATGTTTAAGTATAAATATATGTATGTATGAGTATACTTAACTGTATTTTATTAAATAGAAGAGAAATTTTGTACATCTGTGGTCCTTACAGCGTTTTAGTTTCCTCGCATATAATACATATATATATATATATATATATATGTGAATGCGTATGTTTTATACATTTATAGGGTACAAAAACTTTCTTATAACTAAGCACATATGTATGTGGATGTGAATAATGGTATATGGTGCTCTGTGCTCAAGCACAGGCTATAAAACAAATTCCTTTAAGCCGGGATTATCTCATTCAACTGGAAAATATGTTGAATTAACTTTATGTTTGCTTTACTGTCAATTTCTTTTATTTACGCTGTTCATGCAACTTTTCAATGATTTTGCTTTCTTTAAAAGCACACAAATGAAAAAAACTCCAAAAACACACACACACAAAGCCACATCTAAATATACAACAATATTTTGTATTTTCATATTGTGTGCGTGTGTGCGTGTGTGCGTGTGCGCGTGTATGTGTGGGTGTGTGTGTGTATGGATGCATATGTAAGATTTATTTGTTGTGTTGGCGAATAATGCACACATATGTTTCTTTTTCCATTACGAGCATATTTTAAATACAACTCGCTTATGTGTGTGTCCAAGCGCGTCTATAAGTTTGAGGTCTAAGAAGACCACTTTAAGTTAATTTATGAAATGGAAAAAAGAAATAAAAAGGAAGAAGAAAACCAAGCGAAGGGTTTTCTTTTTTTCTTTTTTTTTTTCTTAATACGCATTAAGCCGAATTGTTAACACTTATACTATGGTATGAGTTTGGGGAGAAATTGTTCCTTAAACATTTTTGTTAACATATTATTGTGAATTAATTTACGCTATTTGCCGATGTATTACAATTTGAGAAAATTAATTGAATCGACATTGTTCGGTACTAGGTCTTTCAGCTTTAATCTGCTTCTGGTATTATAACGACGGGCAGAGGGCGTAAAGCGAAATTGATTCAAACTTATATACAGGATGCATAGGGTATTTTAAAAGGCTTGCATTATATATTATATAGAATTTGTTTTTTCTCTTCAGTGAGTTAAGAGGGAACTATATAAAGTACCGTAAGGAATGAAGAAATATACATTTATAGTCTAATCAATTTATTCGATTGCATTTGATCATTCGAACGTGCGATTCATTACGATTTCAAAATATCATTGGGTAGTGCAGGTAATGTTGTTACAAAATGGAAAAAAAACATGGACTATTCGGACACTGCACAAATGACAAAGGTCTTGAAATTCTTGAGCGCCATAGCGAGAGACTTAATCCGTTGACTAGTAGTTCGTAAAGCGTCCGATGGAAACACAAGACGCAAGATCAGAGAACTCTCTTGACCAGGCTGAAAGATCATGAAATTTCTAATACATTGCGAATTTTTCTTAAAGCAAGCAATTTCAATCAAACTCAAAAGTCGTGTTAAACATATCATAGACATAGATTCGCACTCGAAATTTCCCACAATTTGTGCATACGGAGTTGTGAGTAACGGAGATCATATTGTTTACAGTTAAATTCTTTCGCAAACAGCATTTCGATAAACGCTGTTGCCTGCATTGAGGTTTAGTTGCAAAATCCCGGAAGTGAGAGTCTAGATAGACTCAGATCATAATTATATGATATTGTAGGTCAATTAGGTTTCTTTGCACAAAGCTACGGTCGTACAAGGATGACCTATGGCCACAAAACTCTTGCTATAATGCTATAATAAGCACGCTCGACGTTCGCGCCGTTTGTTCACCATGAGCTCGAAGAGCTTTTGATTCGATTCGGACATGTTGTCCATGTTGTCTGTCGGTTGGGGATTTTCCTAAAAAATGTAAATAATATTAAGAAGGAAAAGTAACGGCTTTTCCATCAATCTTAAGATAATCTCCATTGTCCCCATTTGTCATGTCACTAGGATCGATCACCAGGTTATCGCCGAATGCTTAGAGATAAAAAATAAAAAAAAATAAAAAAAATGGTTTAAAAAAACTGTGCCCTGAAAATTTACTTAATGGTCGATCTGTATACATATGTTATACATCTACGACGAAATTCTATTGACCGAAATCTCGGTAGTGGGGAATTATAAAAAAAAAAAAAAAAAAAGTTCTCCAACTGAAAATGCCGGAATAAATGACTAAATTCCGTGACTATCGTACATGTGGAAAAACCTATATGGAGAGATTTCGAAAAGCTTGATAAGAAAAACTTCATTAAATAAGTTTTGGAACAAAAAGTTGGAAATTTATTAGAAAGGTTATTTTTTTTTTAATTATTACATAAATATGGAATGAACAAAAAAAAAGCTGATATATATAAACGAAAATCATTTTAATGAAAAAAGTAAGAGTTAAATAAAAATATTTTAAATTACGAAGAGTTAAATAAAATATATAAATTACTCAGGTCGTTCAACGAACTACGCTGTAATATATATAAATAAAAAAAAAAAAAATAAATAAAAAAAATTAAAAAAAAACGAGTAAAATACGAAGTGAAGTTTAAGCAAGCCATGCCATTGCAGCATGAAATAGAGCAAAAATGAAAACTTGAACGAAATATGGAGATAATTGCTTTATTCTATTGGGTTTTTTTTCTTGTTTCGCTGTTGTTGCTTTACTTTCCTTGACGAAGATGGCAATGTTGTGGACTGGCCTTAATAAAGTTGGACATACTGAAGTATATCGAACGGTTGCGGACTAAAAATTTAAGAAAATCACGCAAATATTTTAAAATTGTATTAATATGTTGCTGGTCTAGAATGGATAAAGTCAAGACCGAGTCCAAGTTTGCGAGCAAACGTAATAAATGAATGGCTCCGTATAACTGAGAAACGGGCGTGTTTGGATACTTTTGTATGATTTCAAGATATTGTTGTTTCTCAAATTTATACAGTATATTGGTGCCGAGCATAACGTTAAAATGCTCTATTATACCTTTCATAACCTCGGCGATGATAGTATCTTTACTTGGACGTAGAGATTTTCGCGAACTTTTAGATGCTATATATTGATCGACCACATCTTGGGCGGTGATTCTTGATGGTATATTTAGAAGTTTGGATTTCTCGTTAATGGCTTCCCAATCGTCAGCTAAGCGCTCCTTAAGCTCATTGGGCATTTTAATCTTAATCTCCATCTTGGTAAGGGACCAAAATTCAAGATCTTCCGCACTCGAACCAAAGATATTATTTTCATTACGCATTAGATTCGGTGCTGTGTTCATCAATGAAATTGGCAATGGCTTCGTTGATTGAACTGGGATCTTTACGGGTGGTGGTGGTGGTAGTAGTATTCCTGCTGGTGCTAAGACCGGGACCACAATGGAATTTATGTTATTGGCCATATCGTGCACACCGGATGACTTACCGCGCGCTTCTTCAGACTTTGGGACCACTATAGTTGTGGAAATATTTGCTCCCAAATTGAATGCGGACCCTCCTCCAATTCCCTCAACTCTACGGATGCGAATTAAGCTCGGTTAAGCTAAAATTTACTTAACTATTACTTAATTAATTTTTGAAAAGAAATCTCCTTTCACGTACGCCTCCAATTGCTATGAATCTTCTTAAATGAATGAATTTTCAAATTATTTTTTCTTGTCAGTTCAGTTTAGTTTTCGGACATGTATATCCATGACTAATTGATATTTTTTCAAAAAAAAAAAAAAAAAATAAAAAAAAAAAAAAAAAAAAAAACATGTACAGTAAATATTGTGCAAGTAGAAGCTGCACAATAATCGACATTCACATCATCTTTTCGCCAGTTTATTACTGAATGTCTGCCCAGGTGTGTTTGTGTTTAACCTAGAGGCCGTAAGTTGTGAGATATTTTGAGATATGGAACTTAGGTGGCTGACGAGTTTTGGCGCAAGTATGGATACCAATGGCAATGAATTGGATCGGACCATTCCACGACCAGTTTCCGTGCAAAGCGGCATTTATTCAAAAAGTGGAACCTGGGTCATCCTGGCACGGATGTCGTGCATTATGACCACTATACTATGAGCCAGTCTACGTCTATGTCTATTTATTTCATGACCGTAAGTTGAAAGCAGCAAATGTGGAAATAATGAGTGAAATTGGTTTTTATAACAAGGTAAAGACACCGATTTTCATGAAAAGAGAAATCGTTATATTTTCTTCTCAACTTTTATCGATCTACCATGCAACCAAATTTCGAGCTCGCGACCTCTAAACAAATTTAATGTAGAATGGCGTCGCATATTTATTTAACACTGATCCCAAGCAGATGGCTAAGGAGTGGAATAGTAACCAACATTGTCGCCTTCGCCCTATTTTGAATGAAAGCAACATTCGTAGCTTGTTGTATTCTATTCTACTCTACTTTCCAGGTCTTTTCATTTGATAACCTTATCTGGAAGATTCTTAAGCAAAAGATAATCCGTCACTTCGATTGCACAGAAAATTTGATTGTATTGCATTGGATTCTCATCGAAACGAAAGGTATGCGTAAACTTTCAGCATGATTGGATATAAGGAAAGGCCGGGGATATCGTTTAGAATCTTCTTTGTTCTGTGAAGGAAGCACATTACATTTACATAAGGGAATGACGCTTCTTCCACACATACGGCTTTAGAGTCTCGCAACTTTGATAATATTAGCGTTATCAAGTCATATTATGGAGCGTTTAAATGGCGACAGAGCATAGGTAATTAAAAAAGCAAGCTCTTACAATATTCGCTAATTTCGTTGAAAGTAATTTTATGCTGTAGTCCAAATAAGTCCAAATTCTGAAAAAGTTCTCTTCTGGTACAATATTACCAAGCGTCTTCGTCTAAAGCGAGATGGCTTAGAAAGCTTGTGAGAAGAATCAATTCAAGACAATATCTGGCATCGAGAAGTTTCATCTACATTAGTAGTAAGCAAATAACTTGCTCGCTTCGGATGTGACGATTTCGATGCTAAAGACGGATTGCTAGTAGAGCAATCATTCTTAAAGTCCATGAAATTCATTAAAAAATTGATGGAGATCTGTATGTAGGTCAACAACTTACAAAGTTGCTGTTGAATTAAGCATTGGCCAAATAAAGAATTTTTAATCACAAGGGCAAGGGCAGAATACAAAGGAAACGTGATATTTGATTATCAATATGAAGAATGGATTGATGCCGCATAAGAAAACGACTAGTGTTTGGTGAGATCGACTTTGGATTTACTTCAGGGCGTAGATATCGGTCGTTACTACCAATAGCTAATATGATTACAGCACGTAACTGAAGCGACCATAAATGTGTGAAAAGTGTGAAAGATGTTGTGTTCAATCACAACGAGACCGGGCCAGGCGTATTTTCGATGATACCGCGAAAATTGATTAAGCTAAGGCTATTTCATTAATTTAAATCTAAGACCAAAATAGACTTTGAAAATCCTGGAGATCAATTAGCGTCCTGCAGTGATGGTATACCAGTTGCTAGCTAGTAAAAATGAAAAAAAAAAACTTATCAATGAAATGGAAATTGCATATGCTTGCTGCAATAAAGTTCATGTGAGAGATAAGGAAAAGGCGTTTGACGCCAACCACCCCCACCTTTTTGTTCATGTGCGATATAATAGATGTTTACGATCGAAAGAATTTTCAGTAATATTTGACTCTAGAAAGAAACAAAATATTTTGCAAACCCTTAAAGACTTTCCTTCAATTTAACTTCAACGTCCGGTTGGTCTCCGCCAGGGACGCACAGAGTCCCGTCGTTATCTATCCCCTTCAATTTGCTTAACAACATGTGGATTAGAATGCGTGTTTCTTTTTTGCCGCAACCACGATTTGATTGTGGTTTCCCTCCCGTATTTAAAGCGCAAAAGAAAATGAAGAAGAGACAATTTCTTGTTCGTTGTTGAAAATGAAAATTGAAATTAATACTTGCTGTAATATGATTTATTGAATGCAATTACTACGCTCTACTATAAAATGATTACTATAATTGGTAACAAATCTTTTCTTCAAAAGTAAGATGTAATACAACGCAAGTAAATTTCAGATAAACAATACATGTGTTATTTCATTACATTTATTATACATTAAATATTGTACGCTACTTACTACTGATATAATTCTTCATTTCCTTTTGTGATAAAAAAAAAAAAAAAAAAAAAAAAAAAATATCTTGTCTCCAATGTAAAGGCATATTTTCCACGGGAGCATTCGGCCAGAGGGCATGATCCAAATTTAGCAAAAATTTAGCAAAAATTAAATCTCCTTGCTTAGGAACGGTTGCATGCAAGAGAATTCAAAGAACTCGCTTATCTCATCAAAAATTTTCACAACAATTTAGTTTGACCGAAATACTATTACTCAGCGATTTCCATTGCTGAAATTATGAAATTATGAAAATTTTGTCGGATGCAGTCCGTTTTGCACTCGCATCTTGTCGCGGATAAAAACGCAGATACACATCACTAGGCATTGGGCAGAGTAAAGGAATGTACATAGACAAGATTAAAATCAGAAAATGATTCTGAATCAGTCGCTATAATAAATGTTGTATGTTCAACTCAACTCAAGATACCTGCCTAAGTTGCCTAAGTGATGTTCGGTATAAAAATTAATGCTTTACCGCCTAGGCTTGTTATAATTCCATGCCAAGTCGAAATTGAACGTCAAATGATCCTATAAAGCTGTTTATTTCATTTTAAATTGACTTTCGAAAAACGGCTACGGTACAACTGTTGTCGGTTTTTGTTGTTGTTGTTGTTGTTGTGTTATGATCAAGTTCAAGATTCGATATAATTCCTGGAACATTTCTCTGGGTCAATTGAGGCGGATGCAAGGGATAAACAGCTTACACGTACGTGAAGGTTTGGCACTCACATCATTATCTAAGATGATTGCTTCAATCTCACGATGCAATAATCGGTTTGGAGGCGTTCTCCTTAAACTTTCGACGCTATAAAATTCGTTGCATAAACGACATGAAGCAGCTGCGTTTGCTTGGTTTTATCGCTGCAATGTAAAAGCAGTTAACATGATTTCTCTTGTTAAGTAAATACTCATTAAAGTAAAATCAAGTAAGTAAATAAATCATTTGACACAAAGTTCATAAATTTTTTCCTTCTTTTTTGTTGTTGTTGTTGTTGTTGTTGTTGTTGTTGTTGAGTTGTAAGTTTTAACCCGTTAAAACTAAAATAGATAGTTTGTGTCCCAGTATGTGTAATGTAAGCAGAGAGATTGTGCTTATGATCGTACAGTATATCGCCCTTAGTTTACTGTATGCCATATGCAGCGTCTTTGAAGATAAGTTGTCATCTTAAATTTCTCGCTATTGTTGATTGTGTCGACATGCAACTATTGTTGCGATTATATTTTGGCAAAATGAAAGCCAGAAGACTCTATATGTACTGTGCTGTACTGTACAAAATTATTGCAAGCTATTAAAGGAGAGTCATATCTAAGGCTTCCAAAAACCCGAGATAAGTAGTCGGATAAACCGCTGCAATTATGCCAAGTACTAGTTTACTCGTATAATTGGAATATAGTTTTTCGTAAATGTTGATGAATCGACCAACATTCCCCAACAATGTTAGTTAGCCTGTGTCTTTTTGACATGAAATTGTTTTGCTGTAGATGGAGACGACAAAACGTTATCACTTGTCATAGAGCCGCAAAAAGACCACATAAATCGCAATCATCTTTTAAGAATTTCAAGTGTTATTAATATTAATTGGTTTGCAAGAAATGAAACATTTTCAAATACTTTATGTTGAATGCAAAGAAATAAAAAATAAAAAAAAAAAAAAAACGAAAAGGAAAAAAGCAAAATAAAAGATTTCTCTACGTAAATTGAGTTTGAATCAATTTATCAATTACTTGAGCATTTTAGATCAAGAAGATCAATATTGAAAAACATAATGACTATTTCCGCCCGATTTCATATGGAATTGTCGATATATATATATGCATATGCACTTAAGTAATATTTTTTTTTTGCCTCAATTCAAGCTATTAGACATGACAGACATGTGTGTTCACAAATGAATTAATTTAATTATTTGTTATGTATGGTATAAGTACTTGGCATATGAATGTATGCGTTCGTGTTTATGTATATATAATGTATATTGTAAGTAAGTGAAAGGCAATTTTCAAAATAATACAATTTGAGAGCGTTAAAGTGAAGTGAATTTTTGCAAAAAGGGTTGCAAAGATTTTCTTTAGAAAGCATGTCATTCAGTTATTCATGCATTTTCTATATGCTGTCATTCATTCAAATGCACGATGATAAAATACATTAAAAGCGATGGAGTGTAAAAGGGTAATATTAACCACATTATTTGTGTTGTGCGTCTATCTTTGGTTTACGTACGTACATATCTCTATGTTTGTAT